CCAATGGGATTTGGGAGTTATGCAGAATGCAGAAGGTTGCTGAAATGATGTGTACGCAACTGCGTATCTGCATATCTGCGCCTAACAAAGGTGTCACTACGCACAACTTAAATGTTACGTTTATAACCGTAGCAACAGACCTCAGATGAGCCCATACGCTCTGCGGCTCTGGTTTTAATAGCAATTTTCCCAGACGTAACCTGAACTTTTAGGTTGATTAACTTTCATCTCCTAACAGTTTATTAGGAGAGCCATACGTAATTTGAAAATGCCATCTTCTCTCAGTCTATACTGCAATATCTTTACGGTTTGTGTGTTAAGTTAGTTAATTGACGTTTGGTTGTCGATATTCCGACAACAGACTCCGTCACCTAAGAAAATCGAGCAACTGCAACCTCTGAAGCCACTACCACCAAGGCCACAGATACCAAAGCGTGTGCAAGTGCAGTCGCCTCCCCTCGTGGCACCGCCTCCTGTGATTCGTACCGTTGCCCCTCCACCGGTCGCAGAGCCAGTGCCGAAGCCTGTTGAAGCGGTGAAGGCTGAACCATCGCCGCCTGCGACGGCTCCTCCGCTCCCCGGATTTCTCATGCAGTTCGTCGGTCAGCAGTGGTTCCACGCAGCTTACCGCAGCATGAAGGTGTGTCCCAGCTAGCTGTTTGGTTTGCGTTGCTGAGCCGTTTACATTCGGTTCCTGAGCTGATCACATTTGGTTCCTGAGCTGATCACATTTGGTTCCTGAGCTGCTTACATTCAGTTGCTGAGCTGATATCTGATCATGCGTCACAAAAGATATTATTCGTTATTACATTTTTTTTTTCTTTTCTTGATTAGACACTGACAGGTCCATTCACGGTTGCCAAATTCATATCGCTACTGCTGAAAGCACTAGGTGAAGCTGTTTGGGAGCACAGATTAGGAATTGTTAACGGTATTGCCGCACTGTGTGTGCAGCATAGCTCCGCAGTTGATCTTCTCGAAACTGCCAGGTATTAAAAATTTCAGTTTGTCATCATAATATTTATAACATTTGTGCATTTGTCAAATGCATGTTTGCTTTGTGTGCCTGTGTCTCGTTTTTTATTGCAGAGGTTTTCGTAGTTTTGTGTGTACTTACTCAACTGGTTTTTGCTTCCAGGGGATTGCTGTGCACATTGCACACAACTCCCCCTCCTTCACACCAGGTGGCAGTGCAGAACAGCTACATAACTACAGTGTACAAGGCAGTCCAGAAGCTGGCACCTCACTCATCAGATTACATGGCCCAGCTTATTGCTGGCTACGTGGAAGGAGAGAACAATTTAAGGTTAGTCTGTAAACCATGAATTTCCTTAACAAGAAATTCGATGGAGATGCAGGAGTCATCACACGTTCAAATTACAAGAAAGTAAATAGAAGATCGTAGAGGCATTTATTTCTATTATTGATTCATCCAGTCGTTAATGTGTTTTTTTTCCCAGAGATTTAGTCAAGGCCATTTGGCTAGAGTTGGGCTTGAATGATGCAGGTGGTTATTTCACAAGAGAGTTGGACAGCTGGGACGTGTATGACAAGGACAAGGATGAGCGCACTCTTGCACTTCTGCGCAAAGCTGTTCGCTTCATCGACTGGTGAGAGCGGCGAGCGTCTCGTTATTAACGGAGCTAGCGAGTCTCTATCTCGTAAACCTGTATGGAAATATCAGGCCTTTGTACTCGCGTCTGCGATATGTAATTATTAGCAGCGAAAAAGTCGTGGTCCATTTGTATACGAACTGTTCCGTTTTAGATCGTTTATTCGTTTTATAATTATGTTAGGAGTGTCAAATGTCACTCCTATATCGTGTGTGATGGGCAGTCGTGATGGATTCACACTGCTGTATATTCAGGTGGACAGAACAGTGCTCAAAGCATCAGTTAAAGAATCCTAAGCAGTACCGTGCCAGTCCAAAACAGAAACCTATGAGAAAGGGCCAAAATACACAAAAGTCTCCCACTTCTGGTACGTGCCTGAAACATACATTTTCCTTTCTACCGATTCCTCCTTTTTTTCCTTGTGGAATATTTACAAAGGCCGTGTAGATAGGTAGCCTCTTCATGATGTTCAGAATATCTGCTGCCAAGTAACTACCTCGTACTTCATGCAATTTTTTTTTCTCAGATCTTATTACCCCTATAGTTGCAATCAACCATTTCTGTGTCATACATTATGAAAGAGAACAGCGAAAGATACTGGCGGAAAAGAAAAAACCAGAAAGAGAGCTTACGAGGCGAAACAAAAAGCAACTCGCCCCAGAAAGGTATCGACCGTGTAGCTAAGGCTTTAATTATTAGTCATCTTACACAGATGGTAGTCTAGTCGTTTAGTGATTACGTAACCGTAAATAGTAAAAGTAAAAAAATTATGCCCACTTTTTCACAAAATGCAAGTGATTCTGTTAACTTTTTATGGTTAAATTGCTACATTATACTTCCTATTTTGCTATTCCGTTCGATGCGAACAAACAAACACTCGTGACTGATACACAGCCCATAGCAAGCATTTAATGTCATGATCAATATATCAAATCGCCCGATTTTTTATATATTTTTAACTAGTTGCAAAATAATCTCATCAGGTAAGAATTTGAGGATAAATTTAGTGCCGTTAGTACTTACTTTTCATGTAAAAAATTGCAACAAAAATTTTACAAATATACACCATAGAAATTTCGTGATGTAGTTAATTTAAATCTGTTACAGTGAGATATACAACATTCATTTTGCAGTTGCGCCTTGTAATTTTTAGTGGCATCAGACCAGTTATTTCTTGCGTAGTAGGTAATAAATTCTTGGTTGAAATAATATTCACTAGGTTGGACTGTGTAAGGGTTGGCTTATGTATGTAATCATTCCAGGGATCCCAAGCTTATTCGCCTGGGACATACTCACAAGAGCGAATGTCACCCACTCCGTGAAACGTCCCTAGCAGGTGTGCAATTAATAGACAAGACTGTATTTAACGTGTTAGACTCCAAGATTCGGTTACAAAGTAAACGGCTGACTATAAAATTCTAGATGCAATCATGTTCGCATGACTTAAGACATTCTCATGTAATCAGGGTCTCATATATTCTACGTAAGTTAATTAACGTGTTATGGTGGTATCAACGTGGCGACAGTGTTCTACATCCATGCACTTTAGTTATTGTCGTAATTTTCTCACAAAAGCGTAACTTTATGTGCGACTGTGATGCATTTCAGACTATGCTTTCCTGACAAGGCAGCTCATGCAGAGCTTGCAACTGGGCGACTGTCCCCGGTTCATCAACCTTCCCGTGCACTGCGTCTCTGTGCAACCCTTCCAGCCACCTGTCAGCAAAGACAGGGGCGATGAAGTAAAGCCGTATGTACAGCTACCACGGCAGCTCCTGGCAAGACATTACTTCTTGCCGCAACTGTCGTGCGTACCATCGAACGATGCCCCCTCAGGACATTAAACACAACACGATTATCACGTACTGCATTGTCAGATTGTCTCTAACAATCACTCTCATTCGTCTCATATGCTGTTCATCAGGTGTGGATTAACGTGGTGCGTGATACAGTTCAGCTGTATTCTATATAATCTCTCTACATTAAACTCTTATTATTTATATATGTTCTTTTTCACCCAATCTTCACAAAGCATCCATGACCTGTGTTATTCCACTGTCATTGTGAACTTCAATTATTACATATCTGAAGTTTTCTCATGCGTGATTTATTGAAAGCTATTTGTTTGCATATATATGTATGCACAAGAGTTTTGTACATATGATAGTCCTATTAATTCAGAAATGTAAGTAAAACTTGAGATCTGAACATAGCTCTATTTTTCATGTCCACTTTGGACTATGCTTTTATTGTAGTTAATTATTATAACTTTATTTCAGAAAGTACCGAATAGTACTTTTAATGGTCTAACTTAAACTTACGGTTACTGGTTCTTCCAATAACGAATACAACAACATAACAGAGCCAGCTTCTAACAAGTGCAGCGACGTTACCTATTTTAAGTATGCAAAATTCACTATCGAAGTATGTGGGATAATTACCAGTGTATCACTGACCTGGTAACGTAAATGCACGCATGTCGAAATAAAATACGACGCTGCCGATTCTGAATATTCGGTTGCACACAGGTAACCGACAAACACTTGAGCGCTCGCCGATACGTTCCCTTTCACCGCACGTAGCAACCTTAATCATTGCACGCTGGCAGGAGAAAGTGCAGCGCTGAACAGCGGCCGCAGACTAAAACACACTCGCATTCGCCAACCCGGGCCAGGACGTCACTAATCAAGCACTTGCTGCCTCTGTACACGCACACACATTGACGGGGGGGATGAATGACCTACACCGCGCACGCGGTTACGATGGTGGCGGCGAGCGCGGCTTGAACGCCAGCTTCCTGCTCTTCACCAGCACCCACTTGTGTCGCTTGTAGTAGTAGAGAATCGGCGTGACGATCGAGAAGAAGACCATAACCTGTAGGTGAAGGTGTAGCATGAGCACGTTACTATGGCACCGCCTTGTGCAACCACCGATAGAGCATCTAAACATGCCATCGATCGATTATGTTAAATGGAATCCTGGACAACTTTACATGGTGTACTGCCTGCCCATGGCAGCTGCCCAAAAATAAATCTTAATATGGTCAAACATTTTTGACAACCTCATGAGCAAACTCTCAGTCAACTTCTTTTCACAGATATCACACTGGGGTATATAGCACGAGCAAGCACACTGTACACTACCCCTCTCTTCTCTCTGCTACCACTTCTTTCATACAATTTCAGCTCGAGTAACCTCAAGTTTATTTATTTTTAGCTAAAGCTCGGCTAGAAGAGCCAATTTTCTTCCTAGTATTCCAGATTTTTGAGAAGCAAACATTTATATATATATATATATATATATCACCAGTTATCTACTCAATGAAAATCCACTTGACATAGGATTGAACTAAATACAATAGGCTTACCTTCAGCAACATTCTCTTACGCTGGTCGTGCTCTGGTTCAGTAGCCCATCTTAGGAATGTAGATACATCCTTTGCGAGCTGACTTGCATATGCTGGTGTTCCTGCAACACAATGACAATGTTTATGTGATTGTACCAGCAAGTTTCATGAAGTCAATAAGTCACTAATTACCTCCGTGAAATTGCAGCCAACAGGAGAATAGACACGCACATAAAAGAGTACAAATAAGACATCAGTGCAGACGAAATAGAAAATGACATGACTCCTGCATAATTGTGTACTATATTTACCATCTTCATATTCAATGACTTCGTTGTATAATGACTGGGCCATTCCGATGGCACCTCCTGGGAAATAGGGATTATAATGCTGGCCCTCAGCTAGTTCAGTCCCGGCAGGAGGGTCGCAATATCCAGTCATGAGAGCAAAGATATAGTCCTACAAGGTGGAAGAAACAAAACGGATTTATCTAGATGGGTTCACGTAGATTTCACTTCTACCATAAGTGCCGCTGATTATATGTAGACGTATATATACTAGGTGCAATCAAGGCTAATCTCTGCATTGAAGGGATCACAATTCACAAATGAGTTTTGGTATAAACAATTTTGAATTTGATGCACACACATACGGATTACAAGTGTCTTCATCTAGAGTGAAGAACGCTATATCGAAATAGCGCAAGTAATATAGTACGAGACTAGCACCAGGTCATATAGATGATTTCTGCTGAGATAGTGATGGGCATGTAATATATATATATGTGTATATATATATATACAGGGGTAGAAATAAGGAGAAAAAAAAGAGATCTAGTTTGAAATTTAGATGGTCCTCCTAAATTTCAAATTGTTCTCTAAAAGTAATGCGGCGTGCAAGCGTAAGAAAAAGATTTTACATGGTGATAACATGGTTTAATTATTCACCTACAATGAATGTATCAAATGATACAGTAATTGTTTATTCACTTTAATAGTATATTGGTTAATAAAGTTGTTTCAGTAGAATTTAGTTGAAACCATAACACCGGAATATAGTATGTCTCAAATATTTCTTAGAAGCACATTCATTCATTTAATACAGTTGACATTCCTTCAGTCAAGCAGTTCATTCAATCGATTATAAGCCGTCTTCGCACACCATGCAAAGGTCAGATAATGTAATGACTCTCGCCATTAGGCTATGCCTATATTTCATATTATCTTATTAACGGGGAAGATGCTGTTTGGGTGTCAAGTCATCACAATCAAAACATGAAGAGGGACAATCTGACCAATCACGCACCAGCTTACATCATGCCAAATATTTGTTATGGTCAACGCTAGATTAGCAATAATCGAAACGTGGAAACTTCAAAGAAAATTACCGTAAAATGGGACCAAAATATTCAATGGTCCGTCAGACCATTGACTGAAAATCTGATGGTCCTCCTGCTTATTTGATGGCCCTGGACCATCGGACCATTGCTTATTTCGACCCCTGTATATATATATATATATATATATATATATATCCAATCAGACATCCACATGTGCACATTATGCTGATTTGTCTCGTTGATGCGACGCAACAAAAAAAATACATTTTTCTGACAGCAGCATGGCGTGAACCTTGCACGAACAGCAGGGTACCTAAAATGTGAAAGGGAATCGTTAACTATGCACTCCATACCTCCCCGCCATGCCGTGCATTGGCCATGAAGCTGAGATCCGGTGGCAGAGCACCATTGTTGGCAGAGCGGGCAGCTTCGTCGTTAGCATAGGGATTGGGCAGGTAGTCGGACAGCTTGCCGGGTCTCTTGAACATTTCCCCCTGGTCGTTCGGTCCATCCTCGATGAATTGCTGCAGAAGATAAAACAAAAAACTTTCCATTAAAATTATGATTATGAACCGTAATGGCTTAATAAACAAGTGCCGCAGAGCGACAGCGCTCACCTGACGGCAGGTGTTCTGATGCTAAACTCGGGGGCAAACGAATCAAGAGCACCCTCCCATCGCCGCGTTAGCTCTCCCTCGTTGTCTCTCATTCTTTCTCATTCGCTCTCTCGCTCTTGCTATCTCTTCCCTTCGCGCTCTCTCTCTCCCTCTCTCGCTCGATCACACACTCGCTCTCTATCTCTCGCTCGATCACACTCTCTCTCTCTCTCTCTTCTTACTCTCTCTCTCTCTCTTGCTCTCTCTTCCCTTCACCCTCTCTCTCTCTCCCTCTCTCTCTCGCTCGCTCACACTCACTCTCCTCATTGTCTCTCCTCTTTCTTTGTCTTTGTCTTTCTCTCTCTTCTATCTCTCTCCTCTCTCTCTCTCCTCTCTCCCCTCCTCTCTCTCTCTCTCTCTCTCTCCTCTCTCTTTCTCTCCCTCACTCTTCGCGCTCCGGTCGCGCGCTCTCCCTCTCTCTCTCCCGCTCTCGCGTTCTCGCTCTCTCTACTCACTCTCATCTCTTTCCTCCTCGCTCTCTCTCTCTCTCTCTCTCTCTTCTCTTCTCTCTCTCTCTCCGTCTCTCTCACGCTATCTCTCTCTCTCTTCCTCTCCTCTTCTCTCTCTGCCTCTCTCTCTCTCTCTCTCTCTCTCTCTCCTTCCTCTCTGCTCCCGCCTCCCCTCTCTCTCTCTCTCACTCTCTCTCTCTCCCCTCTCTACTCAATTTCTCTCGTTCTCGAGCCCTCACGGTAGCCGCTGATCCGGGACGGAGGCTGTACGACTGATTGTCGTATACAGGACGCGTCTGCCTATTCGTCTGATCAAGACGGAGTGTCTGCCATGGTCTTCTAACGCCTAGCAAGACCGTTTTCGCTGGAGCCTAAGCAAGCGGTAACGTGTTGTATGATAACGTTCACATAAATGTGTGTACGTTGGACTATAGCTATAATAGCGCTTAATTTCGGACCCTGTTGTGGTGCAAATCCGGCAGAGCCGCAATGTTTTTTATACTATGTCTAAATCTCGGTGTGTGGTCCCTGCCATGCGGCCCAGCGATGGTAGGAAATTAGTGACGAATCTGCCTCTAAAAACAGCTGCTTGTGCCCGCAACCAAGGTAACCCTGCACAGGAATCTGACTTGTCCTTCACTGGAACATCGGACCAAGTACGAACAAAACGGCGATAGTCGCCCTCTATTATATCTCTAAACCACTGCGTCAGATCATGGTATTCACGAAGCGCTTGCACTCGATAGATAATGTTTCCGTTGGATCGATGTATGAAATTGCAAGAGAGATGGCTTAGCCGTACGTTCGGTAGCTGGAAGGCTTCCCACCTCACGTAGTATTAGTTATACAACTACTTATTGCAAGACAGACATAGGTAAGCACTCCGATCATTTCATCACTACACAAGCCTACAAGCTCGAATATAGAGACCTAGCCACCGGCTTACCTAATTAACGCAGGCAAAAACTCACACCATCACTATCACCTACCACATGCCACTGGCAGTGCTGCCGACTGGCCCAAGCTGCGCATCTTAACACACTGACAGTTACAGAATGCGCATAAAAGATACGACTGTAAGCGCTTAAGATAAACCTTCTCTCAAGCAAAATTAGCTTATTTTGAATTTCCACTGCGACATTTAGG